GTTACGCAACGGCGGGCGGGGGGGGGGGAGCTGTTGCGGGGGCGGTTCCCCAGGCGCGGGGGCTGCCGCGGGGGGAGCCGCGTTGTCGGCACGCAGGCCTCGTCCCCTCCAGGCAGGGTAGGGCCCTCTCCCGGGGGTCCGGCCGCCGTCGGGGCTGCGGCCCCGCCAGGGCAGGCGGCTAACGGCCCCTCTGGGGTGCCCGGAGCCACCTGCCTGGGAATGTGCTTGGACCGGTCTGGGTGCAGCGGGGCCCTCGCTGCTGCTCCTCCCTCCGGTGCGCAGCCTGGCTTGCCGACGTGGCTCTTGGCTCCCTTTTCCCGGGCTCTGGGCCAGGAGCTGCTCTGCTGCAAAGCCCCGGTTGTCCCGGGGCATGGTCTGCCACCCAGCCGGGACAGACGGACCGCTGCTGCGCCCCGGAGATCCGTGAGGGGCGGGGGAGAACCATTTCTTCTCCAAAACGTGCAAGCCGTGGGCTGAAGGGGCGGGAGGGAACGCGCCAGCCGTGCTCCAGTACCGTGAGCCAGAGCTGGGGCTGGCTCCTCTGGGACATGCGGCTCTGCCAGGAGCGTTTTCGGTGCCAGGAGGCTGCAGGCAGGGCCGGGGTGGCGTGTCCCGAGAGAATGCCATGCTGTGCAGTGGCCGCAGAGGCTGCTCAGTGCATGCGGCTGCCAGCGTGGGTCCAGCTGCCTGCTGTCCTCCGCCTGCTCCCTGGCCATCGGGAGCTCAGCCCAGGCCTTGGCCCCATGGGCTCCTGGCCTGGGAAGCCTGGGATTTCCCTGGCTGGGTGAAGCCCCGGGACCCCAGCCGCACGGGGATGGTGTCTGTCTCTGCCTGGTCCCCAGGCTCCAGTAGAGCGTCTGTGTCCTTGCAGGCCCTGAGGATGTCAGACGGGATCATGAGCAAGGCCGCCACCATGGAGATCCCCATCAGCAGCAACGGGGACACGGGCAGCCTGCCAGAGGATGACGGCTTGGAGCAGGTTTGTGGCTGGGGCCGGGTGGGGACGTGCCGGACGCTGGGATGTTGTTTTTTGGGCTGTGTGGGGTGGGCAGGGCAGGGCCGTGCCACTCTGCCCCAGGCCCTCTGCTTCAGGGCCGGGCCATCCTCTCAGCCGTGCGTCCCGGCTCTGCACCTCAGCTGCCTGTGCTCCTCCCTCCGCTCCAGGACCTGCAGCAGGTGATGGTATCGGGGCCCAACCTCAATGAAACCAGCATCGTCTCTGGCGGCTACGGGGGTACGGCTGAAGGCATCATCCCCACCAGCACCATCAAAGGTAGGCTGGACCGTGGCACAGGCTTGTGCAGATGGGGCTGGGGCAGTGGGGGAAAGCTGGGGCTGCCTGCCAAGGGCAGTGCTGCTCCTCACATGACGGCAGAGGTGGGATGGAGAGGCTCCGTCATGGGAAGGAGGCCACAGCTCGCCTCACCACCCTCTTGTTCCCTGTCGAGCTGTGGGAGCCTGTGGGGAGGGAGGTGTGCTGCTTGAGCCCCAGGGCCCAGGAGCCTGGTCCCTCTGTTGGGGCACAGCCTGTGGTGGTGCCAGGCAGGGAGGGCTGACCCCCGGCCGGGCCTTGTGGAGGGTCTTGTGCACAGGCAGAAGCTCTGTCTTGAGCCTCAACCATGCGGTACAATGCCTCCTCCCCGGGATGGCGGCTCCTGCCAGTGCAAGGCGGCTCCTTCCCTTTCTTCCCTGGTGGGCTTGGGCTCTACTGATGGGCTGGTGGAGCCTGGCTGCCTGGGACTGGAGGGGCCGCCACCCCCTAACCCCCCTCCTCTGGTGCTCCCTGAATGCCATAACTAACAGGGAGGCTGCATGGGGTGCCATGGGAAGGCTGGGCCCTGGGTGCTCCCCTCTCTTGCAGGTGTGGGGCCTCCTGCTGGGGAGGGCCCGGCCGGTCGTGTGGGGGACCCCGGGGCCACAGGTAGTGGCTTGTGGTGCCTGGGCTTTACAGCGTACTGAGGCACAGCAGCTCTCAGGCTCTTCCTCCAGTGGTGAGGAAAGACTCCAGTGTCCCACCTCTTCTCTGGTCCTGGGGAGCTCTGGGGATGCGCCGGTGCCGGTGGTTGCGTCGGGGATGGCCTGCCCGTGGTGGGACAGGACAGGGCGGCTCTGAGCCCTACTGTCTCCGCTCATTTCCTTTTCTTGTTGCTCAGGCTGGTCCTGGGGTTGCGGGTGCTCCTGGTGGCAAGGCCCAGCTGCGAGCGTCCTGCCTGCCAGGCAGCGGTGTGAGCAAGAGTGCCACAGCCCCAGGGCCCTGCTGCTACCCACACCCCCCAGGGAGGTCTGCCCAGGCATGGGGCAGCGGTGGCCCAGTGGGTCCACGGTGAGCGTTGGTGGTACTGGGCTGGGCCAGGCCAAGTTGGCACTGCCGAGGCAGCTCTGGCGCAGCTGTGTCTCTCGCCCTCTGTCCCTCATGGTCCTATTTCACACGAGTCTCTGTCCCCTGACTTGCCCCAGTGGGCTCTGCCGCAGCGGACAGCTGCTCCGTGCTGTGCTAGGCTTGAGTGAGTGGATTTGCACAGGCAGAGAGGACGTGTGCGTTTGCTCGCAGCCTGCTGTGCCGAAGAGCAGCACAAGCGGGTGGCAGAAGAAGATGTGTGCTGTGGTTGCTGTTACTCTTTGTCTGTCACGCTGGGCCTGTCCAGCTCTCGGCTCACGGGGCACGGTGACCCCAGTTGATGGGACAGAAGGAGTGGGGAGGGAGCACCTGGTGCGGGAGGTATCCGTCTGTCAGCCAGCTGTGTCTTGTGATTTCACGTCGCACTCATCTGCTCCCCTTGCTCTCCCCTGCTGCCATCCCGCCTGCACACTCATCCTCTGTCCTGGCTGTTCCTGCCCCCGTGCCCGACACACCGCCCCATCTCTTCTTGCCCCTCTCTGCTCAACACCTGCCAGCCCCTCCATTTCCAGGCTGTCTTGTCCAACCTCACCCACCCCGAGGACCATCTGTCTCCCCCAGTGCATCTGCCGCCAGCAGGATGGCCAACCAGGCTGGTGCTTCAGCAGGTACTGTGGCCACCCAGCCCCTGGCTGGCGCTCTGCGGCCCCCCCCGCCTGAGCTTGGGCCCCTCACCCCAGGTTAGGGTGCCTGGTTAGTGCTGGGGTCCCTCAGAGCACAGAGACTTGGCTGCAGCCCCACATAGCCACCAGTGTGCAGGCAGGCAAGCCCGCTGCTGTGGGAGGAAGACCAGCACTCGCCTCCCCCAGCAGCCACAGCAAGGTCTGGGTCTGGGGGGAGAGGACGGTGCTGCCAGGGCACCGGGCGGCTCAAAGGTGAGATGCAGATGGTGCCTGGCTGTGCGAGGAGCCCCCAGGGGTTGCCTCCCCCAGGCGCTGCCAGTTACCTCCTCTCTCCTCTGGCCCGCTTGGTGAGGAGAGGGGTCAGGCAGGACACTGCTCTGGGCTGAGAGGAGCACGGTGCAGCACGAAAGGCGCTGGGGCCCCGTCTGCAAGAGCAGGGGTGGCTGGGCTGGTGATGAGGTAGGCTGGGGTCAGTGCCTTCTCCTGTGGGGTCAGCTGCCACTGCTGCCAGCACCCTGCGTGGGACCCCTCTGGAAGGGCTCATAGGAGCAGGTTCCCTGCTGTGTGCACGAGGTGTCGCTTCGTGACGCCTGCAAGCCAATTAGGCATGCAGCAGTGCAAGATGGGCTGAAGCCCATTAACGCTGCCAGCTTGTACCCTTGCTGCTGGTGGGGGAGAGCTGTTCCGGACTGGGGCCTGAGTGGGGCGAGGTGCCCAGTGCTGCGCCACAGCAGGTGCAGTGGCAGCTTCCCAGGCAGGGCTGGGTACTGCCTGGACCACAAACCTGTTGTGCATGGGCTTTGAACCCCAGTGCAGCCCTGTGGCAGTCCTGCACTCCTCCCAGTGCCCTGAGCCCTCTGGGTGCAGCCGCGGTGAAGGCACTGTTGGTTTCGAGTGAGCAGCCTGGCCTGTGCCCTCACGGGTGCTGCTGCCCTGCTGAGCTGATCCCATGTGGGGCTGTGTCTGTTCCAGGCTCTGGGCTGCACCAGCCCCACCCCAGCCCAGCCGTCGGAGGAGAGGAAGTTGTCCGTGGCATCGCCGTGGAGAAGTTTGACATTGTCAAGAAATGGGGTATCAACACGTACAAGGTGAGCTGCTTCCCGGCACCATCAGGATGGCCTGGCACGCTGCCGGGGCCACCGCGCAGCAGGCTGAGGAGGGTTGGGCCAGCCCCTGCACTAGGGGCGAAGGAGCAGTGGGAGGTGGAGGATGCATCTGGGGATCTCCCTGCAGAATTTGTGGGGACGGCTGTGCTGCAGCTGCCTGCAACAGCAAGGAGCCCTTCCCGTTGGCCAGGGACCTGGGGCCTCCTGATGCCTTCCTCCCTCACCCTGCAGTGTACCAAGCAGCTGATCTCGGAGCGGTTTGGCCGGGGCTCCCGCACAGTGGACCTCGAGCTGGAGACACAGATTGAGCTGCTCCGGGAGACAAAGCGCAAGTACGAGTGTGTGCTGCAGCTCGCACGGGCTCTCACCAACCACTTCTACAGCCTGGTGCAAACACAGCATGCCCTGGGGGATGCCTTTGCGGACCTCAGCCAGAAGTCTCCTGAGCTGCAGGTATGCCCACGGGGAGGTGGCACCTGCCTTGCCTCTGCCTGTGCTGCAGCCCCTCGTGCCTGGGGAGGAGACCTAGAGACCCAAATCAACCTTGGGCTCTGCAGCATGGGGGGGCAGCTCTCTGCTCCACAGCACCCCAGGTGCTTGAGGAGAAGCAGGAGGAGGCTGGGGATAACAGTGCTCAGTGAAGGCTGCGTGGCAGGGGAGAGCGTGAAGGGCTGTGTCCCAGCACCTCCTTGGAGCACCCAAGGCCAGGCTGATTCTGGGCGTGTGGGAGGAGAGAGGGGGCCTTGCTGGTATGGACCCTGACTTGTCCTCCTCTCCCAGGAGGAGTTTGGTTACAATGCAGAAACACAGAAACTACTCTGCAAGAATGGAGAAACACTACTGGGGGCTGTCAACTTCTTTGTCTCCAGCATCAACACGCTGGTGAACAAGACCATGGAGGACACACTCATGACGGTCAAACAGTACGAGACAGCCAGGTAGAACGGCAGCATGGCCCGCGGGCCGGGTTCCTGATGGGTGCCGGGCGTCCCCGGGGGGGAATTGCGGAGCCGCAGTGTAGCTCCGACACTGGCTGTCCCTGCACAGGCTGGAGTACGATGCATACCGCACAGACCTGGAGGAGCTGAGCATGGGCCCTCGGGATGCTAGCACCCTGTGCCGGCTGGACGCAGCCCAGAGCCAGTTCCAGAGCCACAAGGACAAGTATGAAAAGCTGCGTGCTGATGTGGCCATCAAGCTCAAGTTCTTGGAGGAGAACAAGGTGGGGAGGGCCGTGGGGCGCAGATTGGGGGTCTGCCGTGCACGTGTTGTGTCCCTTGGCCGTGCTGCCTTGCAGCCGCCTGCCTGACATCTCTCTTTGGGTGGACAGCACCTGTGAACGGGGAAGGGCAGGGGAGTGCCCATCTCTGCCCACCTCTCGCTGTCATGGCTCCTGCCTCATGGCCTTCTCCTGGCTTTCAGGGCTAGCTTTTGGGAGCTGCTGGCAGCAGCTCCAACCTCCCCCTCCTGCACTGGGTGGGCGCCGTGTCTCTGCTCCCTGCCCTTTCTCTGGGTGCTGGGCAGAGGAGCTGGCTTGCTGCAGGCTGACCCCTCCTGCTCTTCCCAGATCAAGGTGATGCACAAGCAGCTACTGCTCTTCCACAACGCCATCTCTGCCTACTTCGCTGGGAACCAGCAGCAGTTGGAGCAGACCCTCAAGCAGTTCAACATCAAGCTGAAGACCCCCGGTGCTGAGAAGCCCTCCTGGCTGGAGGAGCAGTGAGCCGCCCCCTCTGCCCCCCGCGTGCTCTGGCTGGGGGCACTATGGACCTGAATTCCAACCTCTGCCCGCTGGCGCGGGGCTGGGCCGCGTGCTCACAGAGTGAGCAGGGGACGCGGCCTGGGCCCTGCTGCAGCTGGGCTTTGCCCACTGGGCATGAGGGGGCCTGGTTTGGGGGGGGAGTGGGAGGCTTCAAGCGGGGCCCTGGTCCTGCCTGGGGAGAGGAGCCCGGAGAGGCTGGGGCTCCCCCGTCCCGTGTCTCCCCCTTGGGGCAGAGCCCAGCCCTGCCCAGCTCATCCATGCTCCCTTAGCATGGACCCCCGGCACGACAGCCGGGAGCCCTCCCTGCTTCCTGGCACCCTGGGGGGGGCAGCAGACCCCTCCCAGCAGACCCCACCGCATGCCTTGGGTGGGGTGGGACACTCCACAGCTCTCCCTCTGCCTCCCCTGGGACAGGATGGGAGCGTGCCCCCCCCCCCAGGCCTCCTCCATGGGGCTCCCCACTCCCTGGGGCCCAGCCCAGGAATACCCCTGCCCTGCGGCAGAAGTGTTCGTTTCCAAATGAAGACGAAGCTATGGAGGGATGGCACCCGGACAGCCGGGTCCCCTCCCTGGCCTGGGGGGGCTTGTGGCTTCCCAGCCCGCTGGTCTGGCCAGG